TTGGGGATCAGTTTGGGCCCTGATGGATGGAACATTATGAAACATGCCAACACATTATGTTCTCTTGTGTGGACGCTGAAAGAAAATGTCTACCCGAATTTGCAATCACTTAAGGATAAATGACATGTTAGCATGGAGATGACAACTAGACATCAAAACACAGACAGAAGGATGATTTCATGATCACAGTGGGGAGGGGTGCCAAATTCATAAGATCCCATTATGTGTTTATGAAGATCCAGACATAAATGACAAAGAGGGAAATGTACCCTGGTTGGACCAGCCCTGTATGTGTTTGTTGAGCTATCACACTGACCCTGATAGTATGTACTATTACTCTGTTAATGGTGACACCATGGTCCTCTAGGCCAGTTTTCCGATGAGTTCGTAGACTCCTGCTCCACATGCTCCCCAAATCTGGGAAGTCGTGGTACTATGTACACGAGACTATGTATACATTTGTAATGACCCTATATATGCATTTGAAGTTGACTTTTCACAAAGTACAGACCACATGCAGATATGGGTCATGTGTCAAGTTACTGAAGTTGGCACAGTAGTGCTCTCCAGTTATTTAGGGCCTTATGACTCAGCTGTGGTAAGGAACGGTACTCCTGGTCTGAGGTATGAGAGCACAGGTGCCCTCCCTTGCCTCTCTTCTTCAGTAGCTGTAAGTGTGGGAACAGAACCACCAAATGATCAAATGTGCTTAAGTGTGATAAACACAAAAGCCCTGCCATCAGTCAAGAGCTCATACCAAGGACAGCTGGCTTGGAGAGTTGCCAAGCCTGAGTACCGATGAGAACTGAGCTTTTTTTTTTTCTGGGGTTGTAGGGAACTTGTAACTTAGAGTACCCTATCCAATTACACCATTTTGATTCAACGGAAAAAAAAAATAACCACACGATAAAACTTGTGTATGGGGGGAGGCAACCCCTTAACACTTGATGACACTGGAGAAAGTCACATGCTGACGGCTCCAGTTGTCACAGTTTTTACTGGTGTACTCGGAGCATTACCAAGAAGGGGTAAATGCACAGACAGGACAGTATTTCTTACAGAGACCAGGACCCTGCTTAACTCTAACGTTTAATCCTGTGGTAGTGGCAAGCGAGTGGAGCAATGTTTCCATCATGGTTTCACCCAAACCTTCCAAACCAGAAGGGAAAAAGTTCTAGCGCCAACATGACTGGCCTGGGAAACAGGCAAGACAGCCTTGCATGGTTTCATGTTACATGCTCAAAGCCAGACACTCCATTGCCTCTTGTCTTCAGTGCCAGGCCACTAAATGAATGCAGGCACACTTATCCCTCTAACCAATGTAGAACCAAGAACTTTCGTAGGGTGAGCCTTTATATTTTCCAGATTTCATCTCCTAGTATGGCTTCTTCTAGAAAGGTGGGAGTCAAATGTAGAGAGTGAACTCCATGGAACACAACAAGCCCATTTGTGGTTCTTTAGTAGAATGAGCATGTTTCATACCTGCCACTAGAAAGTCAATTATTTTCTCTAAATCAGCCTTACATTATCAGCCTTTTACTAAAAGGGTAAGACCTTTCTTTTAGAATTAAAAAGAAAATCAACAAAATACAAAATAAATTATACTTTAGCATAGTTCTTTCCCCACAAAGACTTTACATCTCCAAGAAACGAAAACATATACATTGCCAACCGGATAAGTATATTTGAAGGTAAACATGCTATTAAGAAAGACACACACAAGCTAATCCTGCCCGTGCTGTTTAAATTCCTTACAATAACTTGTTCACTATCTAGGAATTCTGCATCTCGATGTGCATGATCTGATGATGTTTGTGGGGGCAGGGGGGGAGAAGTGGGGGTGTCTTCAAGGAGTTTGAAACTATCTATGTAAATGACCTGTTTCTGAAAAAGGAGCTCTACAAACTGAGGAAAACATCCCTAAGAGAGGGAGAGAGAGAGAGAGAGAGAGAGAGAGAGAGAGAGAGAGAGAGAAGCGGAGAGAGAGAGGGAGAGACAGAGACAGAGAGACAGAGTGTGTGTGTTAACAAGCCCTTTGATACATTAGTCCAGAAGCCAAAAGTACCCATGGTGGCTTGAGATCCAGAGAGCACAAATCGAGGAACAGCATTAGCCTGGGAAAGAGTCCAACACACTCAGCTGCACCCCCAGGGATGGTAGCCTCCCGAAGCGAAGTGTGCAAGGGCAGGTGGGGTCACATGAGAACCTGTTGTGTTCCAGCCACAGGCAGGCCTCACACTTAAGTCATGCCCAGACATGGGTCCAAAACCAGTATCCAAACCAGGTGCTGGCTTCTGCCCATCCCACCCTCCCCTCTTAGGGCCTCTCCCAGTGGCTTCCATGGAGGTCCCTAAGCCTCTCGAACACTGGGGCATGGTTTTCTGCGCTCACTTTCTGTGTTAGGTTCCCATCAGGCAGTGGCTGTTAGTTTACAGATGGAGAAGCCTCCCAGGCACATTAATGACTATGGTCACACAATAAACTAACATGGAAAGCAAAGTCAGGAGACACCCCCACCCCATCTTTCACCATCCTTTTCCTGAATACCTTTAAAAAAAAAAAAGAAGTTGCAAATATGGTCATTAGTAGACAAAATAACCAAATTTGAAGTGCTTAAACTAAAACTGTCAACACTTACCACACTCATTTTTGGCAACTTTAGTATCTAAGTTTAATGGCTACCCTGTCCTACAGAAGACCTTGGTCTCTTCTGCTAAGTGGATGAATTAACACACACACACACACACACACACACACACACACACACACACACAAATAAAAGCTCAGATGGGATGCTAGGCTCGTAATGTTTGGCTTTTCCAACCATCTAAGAGCCTGAAGCTTACACCCAAGTCTGGAACTGTTGGAGCCACTCAGTGGTCAGGATTCTACATGGAAGGTTGTGCTGAGCATCTCACAGGGGTGACCACATCAGTCATTAAGACTTGGAGGGACACACTGGGGCAGCTTCTCCACAAAGTTCCAGGCTTCCTTCTGAGGGAGCTACTGATCCAGTTGGTTCCAATACTAAGAGGTTCCCTATACTAAGAGGACAGCTGGCAGAGAGAAGCCCAGAGCTACGTTGTTTCTCCATGGGGGAGCACACAGGTCCTACTCAACGGGTGGCCTCATCTGACTGTAGGAGGCAAGAGAACACAGCAGGACAGCACTGGTCTGCAGATTGCTCTTATCTTACCTGAAATGAACTTGGGCAGGAGGCAGTTCTCAAGTGATTCACTGCCACCAACAGTACGCCCGGACAGCATCCCAATACTGGAACTGGAGCTGTAGACAAGGATGGCCTCAAACTGACAGAGATTCATCTGCCTCTGCTCCCTTCCTCCCCCAATGCTGGGATTAAAGGCATGTGCCACCACTGCAAGGGCTTAGGTTTGCTCTTTTATGACTATAAATAAATAAGCAAACAAATAGAATCACACTTGCTCCTGGATTTGTCTGTCAGCACTTGGGATTCCAAAAGTTTTAATTAGCCCAGGCTAGCTCTGGCCTTCAACTCATAATGCCCCTACCTCCACACCTCCCTACACTGAGGTTGCAGGCATAGTTTACTCCCCGACAGCTTTGTCCTGTGGGCTTCCTTTTGGGGAGCAGATCCCCCAACCACCCTACTTCAAAAGATGCTTCATACACAGAAGTGCTTCTGAGGTAAGAGCTAACTGGACAAAGCATGACCCCTCTGTAGTTCAATTACTGGGTTTTCCTGCCACTTTCAAATCCCTACATTTTGTTCACCTTCCTTTTTCTGGTAATCATCTCTCCCTTGGAACTTGAGTTAAGCATTGAGAACCTGTTTTTTTCTTGAAGGAATTTACCACAAGAACCAAAGTGGACTGCTTTTTATGCAAAAGGCAAAGGCAATGAATGATCTTTGAGTTGTAAAAAGTATCTGATACTGGTATTTACTAAGTGCTGGGCATAGTTCTGAGTGAACTCTATTCCACACAGAACCATTCCAGACATGGATCCTCATTTTCAGATGGAAAACCTAGATAACCGTCAACACCTGCTTTCAAATTGTGACAGATTAGCTCTGTTTCACCACCCTTAAGAGTGATGCCTGTGCAGGTAGCCACACCCCAGAGTGGAGGACATGGGCGCTCAGGAGAAAGCCACACTCCCTGCTATTCACTTGAAACTTTCTACCAATATTTGGTATGGTTTCATGAAAACAATTTTTAAATTTGGCTAATACACAATCAATTCTTTCCTATTGAAAAAAACTTTTTACAGGGTGAAGTAGCAGATACATATAATTCCAGCATTCTTGGGGCTGAGGGAAGAGGATTGCCATCAACTTTGAGGCCAACCAGGGCTATATAACAAGACCCTAAGTAAATAAATGAGTGAGGGGAGCTAAGGTAATTGGAGATGTTTTGGATCTCCAAAGCCAAGTGGACAAGCTACACACAGTCTAAAGCCACCACAGAATGAACCAAAATCCAAGACTTCAATTTAGAAACTAGTTGCCAAAGCCGTTCTGGAATTAGGTTAAATATTCAGAACACAGTTTAGTGTAGGGGGGATAAGATAACTTGGAAATTTAAAGTGAAACTAGAGAAAGACCTGACACTGTGCTTTTTAGAATAACGCTATATTGAATTCATGCACACACACGTCTGACAGCAATGTAATTAAATCATTAAACTATCAACATAAATTTACATTTCCACGGAAGCATATCTAGTAGCATAATAGTAATCAACAGTGTATTTAATAGGTCAGGACAAATATCAAAGCAGGACAATACAGTGATGCTTTGTTGAGATCCCACCATTTTGGTTTCCTGTAATGAGGTATTTGCAGAAGTGTTTGTTCACAATTAAACTCAGTTCTTTTGTAGGAAAATGGGGTAGCCATAAGAAAAAAACAACCACACATCTCCTGCCCCCAACTTAGGCATAGGCTTGGCAGCTTCTGCACTTACTTCCTCTCAACATCCACACATTTATCAATGTATTTGTTATTGGTTTTTGTTTTTGTTTTTTTTTTTGGGGGGGATGCTGGGGATTGAACCTACATGAGTTAAGCACAGCACTCTACCAATGAACTACCCCAACCTGTACAGCTACTTCCAAGGGTGAAAAGTGCACATTTACCTGCAGTCAATGCTGACTCCAGAAGACAAGAAAACCAATGCCTCAAAACAAAGGAGCTGAAACTGCCAGAGTAACATGGGAATTATCAAGCAATAAGCTACCAGTTCCCTGCAAAACTGATACTGGTTCATGTAGCCCAAATACTGGTATAGAAGACATAGGTAAATTGATTCACCTCTGATACAATCTTATTTGAATTTTTCTAAACATTCATTGTGTGTGTGTGTGTGTGTGTGTGTGTGTGTGTGTGTGTGTGTGTGTGAATGCACACTGTGGTTGGTGTGCCATCGTGCATTCTCTCGTCTTGAGGCTTGGTGATCCATCTTCCCTCTCACTCCACAGGCACACTCTTGATTCTGAAATGATCAATTCAGCTGAACAAGGAAGCAATTTCATTTTATGGCTTCTTTCCCACCTTTCTCTCCAGCCTCTGTTTGTGAGATATGTCCTGGACTAGCCTCAAACTCACACTTCCAGTCTCAGCATCCTCTAAGAACTTCACACTTGCAGTTGCTCTCATTTGTTCACAAATATGGTGCAGTGACCCATATGTACAGTTTAGCCAAGCTCACCACTCTAAAATGTTCAACAAAACTAGCCATTTTCATTCAGATCATGAATTTACAGGCAGCAACAACAAGCACTAATTGTCAGCATGTGGTGACCACCTCAGTGTTCGTCAGGGGTTCTATCCTAATCTAAACAGGAGTTGGTACTGCCCTGACAGCGCTCCTGGTGGCATGGCAAGAGGGACTCCCAGGATTAGCCTTGATGACAGCTATTAGGTTTAACTTCAACAGCTTGAAATACTTCATATCTGTCTGGAGTATGCTTAGGAATTTATTCATTTGCTTTTTAAGTAAAGAATCTAAGTTAGTACCCTAGATCTTGAAAGCTCTCTTTGAATGTAATTTTCACAGTCTTTACATTTTAACTGTCATTGTTTATTACTGTTTGGCTACATTCTCTATAATTCCAGCAGCATCTTAAACAGACAATGTGTCTATGTACAATGGGAAAAAAAAAACACAAACAAAAAAACATAATGGCTTGCAACATCAGGTAAGAGCCACAGTTTAACTGTACATGTTGGGGTGTCTGGTCAGGACAGCCTGTTTTCTGCACCATGGACAACTTACATGTAAGTCTCAGCATTATGACTGTGACAATAAAGAAAAAAAAAATCCGTACAAGAATGAAATACAGCATCCCGGAAAAATATTGGTTTCTACCACACAGGCAGTTAGAAAATGTTCACATTTTAACAAATCTGTACAAACCACAAGAAACATTCTATGGGACCATCATCCCACCTTGATGCTAAAGAACGTTCTAGAAATGTAGAATAACCATGAACAATTTATAAATCTAGTATCTATGTGTTCCACAGCCCTAGAACCTAAAAAACTGATTTGAAGAACTCAATATGCCCAACATGGATCATTTTACATGCCTTGATTGTTAATGAATGCCTGCTTTTAATATCTCTCTATGATGTACAGTCAACTTGTGCCTTCAAGGAGGTCATTCAATTTTTTTTTTTTTAGCAAAAAAGCAATATCATTTAGCAGCAATTAAAGCGCCTTCGAGAAGACTTAAAAAAAATACAATATCCAATTAGAAAAGCCGTATTTTTAAACATTTGTACAAGAATAAGCTGCTGAAACTCGGTAATTGTAATACGACATCTGTACAATAATTTACAATAGAGCCAGAAGGGAATTTATCATTATCCTGCATAGAACTGGCCTGCATTTGGTTACACACTGTCTCCTGTTTTAATGAACAAGGCCTGGAAACAAAAGAAAAATGCCTGTTAATTCTAAAACACTGAAAGCCCTGGGAATACTATAATTTAGTGACTTCAACTGATTGGAAATAGGCAGCTCTTTGTGTTAAAGGTGTAAAGAGCCCAGAAACGGCAGCTCCCTTTTAACACAACTGGTGGGGGAAACGGACATGTGATTCGAGGTACAACTTGGTAAAAGCCAGAATAGGCAAACAACAAAGTCTATAACTGTCCAAAGACCCTAACTCACATTCTATTATAAAACACCACGGCCGCTGGCATTCAGTTCTTGCTTTGGTTTCTGCAGATCAGCTGCCGAGTGCTGACGCTGTACCAGGCACTGTAGCTCCCGTGTTACAATGTCTCATAATTTTTCCATGTGTTCTTAAATAATGAAAAACTACCCTTCATATTAGAACTCTCTGGTAACAATCAAATATATTTAGGTATTATAAACGTTATTTACAGTGTCCCCTCCTCTTCTGTTGTAACATGGTATTCCTGTTCCGTGCTGCTCCAGGGCAGAGTGAGGAGTGTGCACTGAGTCAACTGTCCATGATCCACCCCTCACACATGACCCCATGGAGAGCTTTAGTTCATAATCACTTCCTATCCATGTCCTGTGTGTGTGTGTGGGGGGGACCCAAAACACTCAAATGCACTCAAATTCAAGTATGCATCTGGATCATGCCAATCCTGGAGGAGGGTCAGTAAGTGATCACGCTTGAAGAAGGAGGTGCAGGAGGTGCTGTCAGCCCAGACATGTGTAGGTTTCCTGAAGAATTGGATCTTCTCATGTGTGGCAGAAGGTAAGGGTCATTTGCCAGCTGGTGCACGTCAAATCGATCTTCTTTTCGGTAAGCCAAACAGCGTCTTATGAAGGCCTTCAAAAAGAAAGATGGCAATGCAAATGGCCTTCTACCTTCTAGATACCAACCCATCAACTCCTACGGAAGGGTGGACACATCTAAGACTACAAACAGATCTCTCTCTCTTTTTTTTTTTGTTTGTTTGTTTTTGTTTTTGTTTTTTGAGCCCTGGCTGTCCTGGAACTAGCTCTTATCCACCAGGCTGGTCTTGAACTCACAGAGATTCGCCTGCCTCTGCCTCCCAAGTGTTGTGATTAAAGATGTGCACCACCACCACCCAGCCAACTAGATGAAATTTTAAACCTGGGTTCTCTGGAATAAGCAGCCAGTGCCCTTAACCACTGAGTCACCTCTCCAGCCCCCTCCCCTTATTTTTAACATCTCAGCATTAGGATGGGCAGACTGAATAAGACCTAAAAATAATGAAGGGTCCAGATGTTGTGGTTTCTCCCCCAATTTTCAAAGAAAAGAGAGTTATTGTGCACACAGAATGAGGAAGCTTATTTTAGTGCTTAACGATGAAGACAGCATATCCAAAAGCCAAAGCAGTCCCCTGCTTCCACAATAAGTCAGAAGCCCTGTTGCAGCAGCCATTTCGGCCACTGTGCTACAGAGGCACTGACCACACAGGAACCACAACTCAGACACTTCACAAAATATGTATGTAAATGAGGTTAATACCTTGGCTTCACTGCTTACAACTGGTTTTACAGGGAACTGGACTTCTGTGGCTTTTAGTATTGTGTTTTCCTGGAGAATATCTTGTTGAGATTGATTGTGACCAAATGGCTTAAAAAAATAAATAAATAAAACATTGAAATAAATTACTGAAAACAAAGAATGACCACAAAAATGATTTGTATTTTAACATTTTGTCCTCAGTTAGTAGAAAGTTGGGTTGTGGTCTCACAGAAACAAGATTATAGCTAAGAACAGTCTGGAAAAGACTATCCAATCAGTCCTCAGCAGATAAACCCTATGTGATGGAAAAGCAAATAAGCCTGTCATTCAAGTACTTAGATTTGGAACCAGGAGACCTGGGTTTGGTCTCTATGTTAGACAGATTTCAACAATTTAACGTAAGCTAGAATTAACAGGGAACTTCAACTGAGAGTTGTCTCACTAAACTGGCCCATGGTCATGTCTATGGGGTATTTTATTGCTTGGTTGGTGTGGGAGAGTCATAACTGGACAGGTGGTCCTTGGGTGAACAAGAAAGCAAGTTGAACAGGATGAATAAGCCAGTAAGAAGCGCTCCTCTGTGGAGTCCTGCTTCATTACTGCCTGGAGTTACTGTCTCTGCTTCCTTCCATAGTGGACTATAACCTATGCCAACCTGCAAATTTCTTCCCTGCCCAGTAGCTTTTGGTCATGATGTTAGTCTCAGCAACAGAAAACAAGCAAAAATAGTCTTCATATGCTGCACATTTCTAGACAGGCTCTTCTACCTCTCTTCTCATAGTGATGGAGACTGGGCAGAATGCAAACTGGACATTATCCACAGCAACTTGCATTTCTGATTTTAATATTAGCAGAGGTTTGGGGAAATCTAAGTTTGATGGTATTTCTCTGAGTTACAGGAGGAATTGATACCCAGGCCAAATGTTTTTAGGGGACAGAGGGAATTAAGAGAAAGTGTAAGCAATGAAGGACATTGCAAAGTGCTTGACTCCAGAGTTCCCAATAGAAAATGTTTGGGAAACGGAAAGAGAAGGAAGAGAAACCAATCAAATCAACTGTTAAAATAATTCGGATCCCTGTTGAGGGCCCTACCCTGCCTGGGGAGTGGTGGGTAGATGGGGTGATACATACATATATATCTGATCCAAAGAAGCAATGAAGAAAGACGCTTGCCTTTCCTAGGGATGCTCTAAACTGATCCCAAGTTACCGAAAATTTGCATGTAAATGACAAAACAGAACATCTTACTTATTTCTACACAGCTGAACTAGTGTGACACAACTTACTTTTCTACCATAGAGACACTGAAAGAAGATGACTCCAACTGACCACACATCAACCTTGTTGGAAATCTTTGGTGGCTCTTTTCCAACTACAAAGCATTCAGGAGGTAAATACCTGTAAGTAATGGGCAAGGAAAAAAAGAAAAGGATGTAATGTTTAGCTTAATACTTTCTAAATCATACAATGCTTATTTTATTTATACATAACCTCAGTTTTCATCAATGAAAACTATTAAAGTTTTAGTTCATTTAATTCTAAAGCCAAAATACAACTGTGTAAAAAAGTATATTTAAATCCAAATTAGGCATTATCATTATTGTGATAGTACAACTGTGACAGTATTGGATAGATTGTGGCAGTATAATCTGCGTAAGTTTCCAATAACAGAAGCAACACCCCCCTACCCTACTCCAACAGTTTAAACTGAAGGTAGTTCTCCTAAAATATACACCAGACCACAGACTCTCTTCTTTAAGCCACCCAAATCCTTCACTTAATTCCAATAAGACGGGATCTCATATGTCTTATTGAAACATAGACCTATCCTAATGCATAATATAAATTTCAAGACCTTCAATCACTATTATCCCTTTCTTCCACCCAACTGGCTACTCAAGGCCAACTCACACACCTCTGGACATGAGCCTTCTCTGTTGCCCTCCATGGGCCAGGCAGAACATGGCTTCCTTCCCCATGTTAGGGGAGATGGATGTGGTACATCTACAAAAGCATTAGTTCTCTCTGTGTGAGGAGCTTTGATTTACCATGCAGTTTCAAACATCACCAGTGTGTGAATATACCAGATACTAAAACACTAACTTTTAAAATTTAAAACTGCTACTTATGAATATGATATATAAAAGGTAAAAATATATGTAAAACAATACACCAGATAGTGGTGGCACAAGTCTTTAGTTCCAGCACTTGGGAGGTAGAGGCAGGTAGATCTCTGTGAGTTTGAGGTCAGTCTCATCTACAGAGTGAGTTCCAGGACAGCCAAGGGCTGTTACACAACCCTCCCCACGTCCAGTAGTTTAATAAGTTAAAAACAGTAAAAACTCGTAATGCAGTTAACCATGGTTCACTTAAAAATATCTTTTTTGCTACGCTGAAGGTGTCTACATGTGTGGCTGAAAGGAGCATGGCTCTTGAACATGCAGGTATCTCACCATGCAAAGGATATATAAGCAAGGGAACGACTGCATGAACAATTTTGTAGATAACAAATCTCACTGCACTAGACACCAGTCAGGGAAAGAAAGAAAACTGACTACAGATACTGGCAACAATTTTAAGTTTTGTAAATGAGAAGTGTTCTATAAAAGCAAAATACGTGTTTTAAAAGGGTCATCCCAGTCCCCAAATACATAGCTAAATAATTCAGAACACTGAAAACTAATCATTTGTTTGGACCACTGTGTCTATAGGAAATATACTCCTTTTGTTGTTTTTGAAGCAAGGTCTCACTATGTGGACTTGGTTGGCCTATGCCTTACTCTGTAGACCGTGCAGGTTGTCAACTCACAGAGATCCTTCTGTCTCTGCCTCCCAAGTGCTGGGGTTGACAGTGGATACTACCACACCAGGCCTGGAAATAAGTCCTATGTCTCTACATAAGAATATCATGAATCATGTCCTGCAAGCCCCTAAAAGAAGGTTCCCTGACTAGGTCCACCTGTAAGAGGACAATGTCCTCCCACTGCTCAACAGTAGTGAAGTTAAGAAATCAATGAGTACTCTACAAAGAAGGAAACTTTCTATTTACTATAGGTCTCTAGGATTTCTGTTGAAAAAAAAAAAGAGAGAGAGAGAAAGAGAGAGAGAGAGGATAAAAGACTTCTAATTAAGACTATTGACTTTTAGGAAATTATAAGTTTGAATGACAGTCTTCTTCAATGGGAAAGGAGTAACTTGACTTTTCTAAGTTATCACATTTTTAGGCAGTGCCACAGGCAGATGATACAACTTTCATGTGGCTTAAATATAACAACAAATATGATGAATACCTCTTCAGGAAAGTACTCAGCATGAATCTGAGCATATCAGGGAAATGGTCAGAATGGGCTCAAGCAAACTGTGTGAAGGCTGCAATGGGTCCACAACAGCCACTGTGTAGGTTTTATGGAGCTCTCTTCCCAATAAACCTGAACTTCTTGCTAAGCTCATTTATTTTGAGAATTAGGTTAGTTTTGAAAATGTAAGTCTGTATTTTCTAACTTTGGTGACCTTGGTAGTAAGTGTGAGAATTCACATTCATGGGTTTTTGTAAATACCCAGTGTCTTGGTTAGTATCATATCAACTTGACACAAGCTCCAGTCATCAGAGTTTGAGTCCCTGTCCTGACTGTCTTCAATGATGGAATAAGATGTGCAAGTGTAAACCAAATAAAGCTTTTGTTCCCCAATATGCTTTTTGGTCATGGTGTTTTATATTAGAAACAGTAACCATAACTAAGTCACCTATGGACTGGTAACATTCTGAATGACTTTTACATTTCTATCTACAGAAAGAGATTTTTGAGAATCAAGTCTAAAGACTAAAAATATAATGAGTCTACAATCAATAAATACTGTATCTCCAAAAATAACCTATAAAAACAACAGTGCCTTTAATTCCAGCACTCAGGAGGCAGAGGCAGGTAGATCTCTGTGAGTTCAAGGCCAGCCTGGTGTCCAGAGCCAGTGCAAGGATAGGCTCCAAAGCTACACAGAGAAACCCTGTCTCGGAAAAACAAAAAAACAAAACAAAACAAAACCACAGAACTTCTACAAAGAAAGCCTGCAGTTCTTACTAGAGACAGTTGGGCACTACATCTGCAAAAGTACACATTTAGATCATAACTATCACTTACTCTCATAAAAGAAAACCCATGAATTCTGATTCACAAGTTTCTAGCTACTACATATTACAGTTGTATGTGCACGCTGAGCCATTCTTTTTGCAACTTTTGATCTTTGCAGTTAAGAATGCAGAGAAGAGCATACTAGCTAGCCACAGGACTCTCCTCCTCAATTCAGAGGCTCAGTATCAATGTCTTCGGCATAGTAATCTCAAAGAATATTTGAAAATAAAACTAAACTTTTATAAAACACTGGTGACTAAGCAGTCTTGATATATTTACTAAACCATTTACCAGTAAGTGCCTGCCCCTTGGGAAGTCAGATCCATTCCGTCTACACCATAGCTATCATCATCCATAATCTTAGACAGACCAAAATCAGTGATTTTGATTTCTCCACATGCCGTTCCATCTACCAAAAGGATATTTCCTAAAACCAAAATAGAGTATTTTTAGTAATAAATACATACACACACACACACACATACATACATACATACATACATACATACACACACACACACACACACCATATATATAAAGGAAATGAAATGATAATTTTTACAACTAAGAGTAATGTTTGGTAAATAAATATATTATCTGAGGAATGACTGATTGTGTTGGTGCATGTCTTTAATCCCAGCACTCAGGAAACAGAGGAAGGTAGAGCTCAGTTTATCCAACCCAGGCTACACAGGGAAACTCTGTTTAAAATTGCAAACAAAAAAGCAAACACAACCCCTGCCTCCACACCCAGAAAGAAAAAGAAGAAAAAAAAAAGACCCAACACTGTAACACACATTTCCTGAAATACCTGGCTTAAGATCATAATGTATAATAGGAGGTTTGATCTCATTGAGATATCGTAGGGCATTCACTATCTGCATCACAATAGACCGAGCTTCTTTCTCAGACATCAACTTGTGCTGCTTTAGGTAGAAGTCCAAGTCATTGCCTTCACAGAACTCCAGCACTGTACAAAACCTACACCAGAAAGGAACAATCAGCAGAAATCTAGCACCACAAAAAACCTATACTGGGAAAGGGAGAAATCACTATCCAGTAACTAAGAATCTTAACAGAGAGATGAGAAGATTAGAAACTGCACTGCAAGATCAGAAACAAAGACAGTATTCTTAAGAGTCGAATCTTTGTTTACTTACGTATCTGTATCCAAGGAGAAGTAATCATAGAGTTTAACTATTCTGGGGTGATCCAGTTCCTTGTGTATTCGATACTCTCTGCAGGCATGTTTGTGGTAGTTTTCTTTTTTTTCGTCTCTCCAGCTTTTATTAAGCTGGTGGATCTTCACAGCAGCGTATCTTTGCTCATACAAGTCAAAAGCCTACAATTCAAGGCAGAACATGATTACACTGCACATCAACCAAACAGCCAAAGACACAAGTTTGGGTGATAACTTTTGCAACAACTAGGGTTCATCTCTAAGACAGTTCAATAATATACTTAAAGAAATAAGATAGAAATGTCATGGTCATGAAACAGGAAAGTAAAATTAATGTCAGTTTTCACATTCAAGTTCTTTAAACACTAATATCTGGAATCATGATAAAACAATGAAGCTAGAATTCTTTCAAATACGAGCTTACTCCTTTACATGGGTAATCTTATAGGGAGCAACCAGCAACACAAATGGCTATGAAATTTTCTGTGTTGTAGGAAAAAAAGTATTTTTATCTTTCTTTTCTCAGCAACTAAATTAACAAGTTCTTTTCTATTTTAAAGTTATTTTTACTTTATGTGTATGGTTGTTATGCCTCTCTGTTATCTGTGCACCTGTGCATGTAGTATCTGTAGAGGCCAGAAGACTGCATTGGGTTCTCTGAAATGGGAGTTACAGATGGTTTGAGCTGCCCATGGGGGTGCTGGGAATCTGAGCCAAGTCCTCTGGAAGAACTGTGAGTGCTCTTGACTACTGAGCCATCTCTCCAGCCCCAATTAATAGATTCTTAGTAATTCTAAAACTACTGAAAAAAAAAAAAAAAACTTTTGTTATGACACTGTTCAATCTATATTCCAAAGAGGCATAATAAATGTTTATGTACCCAACATCCAGTTAAAAAATTTATTTTATCTATTTCCTTTAGTATGAGACAGTATGTGAGTCTAAACCCAGGGTGCTATGCATGCTAAGTGAGTGCTCTACCATTAAACACCACCTCCAGCCATCTGACTCATTCCGACCTATAATACTTTTTTAAATCTGTCTGGGAGGCCAGTACAGGACTGATCCAGACCCTAGAACATGGATGTCATTAGGAGACCTTTGCATTCTAGGGGGCCCCTGGTAGTGGATTAGTATTTTTCCCTGGTGTAAGAAGGGATTTTGAGAGCCCATCCCACGTGAAGGGATGCACTCTTGGCCTGGACACATGGGGAAGGGCCTAGGCCCAGCCCAGGATGATGTGGTGGACTCTGGATGATTGGGGAGCCCTTATCGAGGGCCCTACACTGCTTGGGGAGTGGAGGGTGGATGGGGTGGGTGGTAGGTTGGGGTGGGAGTGGGAGGGAGAGGGAGAAGGGATTGACATGTGAAGCAAGCTTGTTCCTAATTTGAACTAATAAAAAAAATTACAAAAAAAAAAAAAAAAGAATACCTAATATGATCTGGTATCCAATTTTCCCAAATGCCTCAAAAATAAAAAATAAATAAACAAATAACACCCTCAAATCACTAGCCTATTTCATAAATAACAGGAATATTATCAGTACTTTAACTTTCACATAATTTATAAGTATCTTAAATCTTTTACTACTTTATCTTAGGTAAGCTCAATATGATCTGAGATATAAATTTTTTAACTTCATTTATGTGGCATTAGGTAAGTCTTGAACTGGAGTTTCAGGCAGATGTGACCCTTCTATCAAGGGCACTTGAAACTGAACTCAGATACTTTGGTAGAGCAGCACGTGCCCTTTTGCAGAGCCATCTTTCCAGACCCATAAATGTTTTACATACCAAGCGATGTTAAAGAAGTTTCATTGTGACTTATATGCAAAGATGACTCTTTAAAGGTCTCCAGAGCCCCTACCTTACTAGGTTAAGCAGAGGGAAACACTTTCCTAGTCAGCTTAAGCTGTCAAATCGACACAGAGGAACCAAGCCTGTAAGCAGTATCCCTCCATGACTCTTGCTTCCAGCTCTGGCTTGAGTTCCTGTTTGGTTTCCCTCAATGTAGGTCTGTAATCTGTAAGATGAAGTAACTGTTCCCTCCCCAAGTTGTCTTAGTCATGGTGTCACAGTAAGAGAGAGGCAGACTACAACAAAGAGTAAAGTGACTTTATGACAAAATTACAAAACTGTGAAATCAACAGAGCAGAGGAACAGAGCCTCTGACAAAAGTGGGACTGAGTGCTAGTGAGTACCAGCACCTCTTAGAGCCTCAGGCTTAGGTACAGCTAGAATGGCTGAGAGGATGAAATGAGGACTATACAGGTATAAGACAACAAAACCCACCATTAGCTCTTTTTAGCTAATGAGACTGATGATAAAAGTCAGTCTAAAGCCAGTATATAAAAGCCATGTAGTTTTAACCATACCCTCTCTACTAGCATAAAGAACAGACAACATTACCTTATACACCTCACTAAAGCCACCTCTTCCAAGCAGATGAAGTAATAAATATCTTTCATTTAACGTTGGATGATCTTTGAACCTTAAAAAGGTAGGGAGAGAAAAAACTATTTTGGCACATTAAAAGAATACTAAGAGTTCTGTGTACATTAATTCCCATTCTTGACTTTTACTCCCAGCTCTGTCCATGTCACTTACCTGCTGCCAATTTTGCATACCAGCCAGCAGTTGCTCCTCTTCCTCTCCATCTTTCTACATAATATCACCTGTGTTAACCTTCAGCACTTACAGTGCAACTATAACAGCTAGCCTCTAACAGCACCCTCATAAAGACCATCAATTATACTCTAGAGGAAGCCCCTTATTCCTGATAAACTGATTTTCTTGCAAAAATATAAATTTACATTGAGTCATGAGTGATCGAGATTTTATAATACTGGCTTGTGTTTAAAAATAATTGTATTTATCAACTGGTCTTTGTTCCTGGTTTTATCTTAGTGTCTTTGAACTACTGTTCATCAATTTTGAAAATAAAAAATTTTAAAAACTTGTAAAAAAAAAAAAGCTCTCAAGTAATACATACCAACATTCCTCTTTAGTGTGTGTGTGTGTGTGTGTGTGTGTGTGTGTGTATGTATGTGTACCAGAGAGGGCACCAGATCTCACTACAGATGGTTGTGAGCTACCATGTGAGTGCTAGAATTGAGCTGAGGACCTCTGGAAGAGCAGGCAGTGCTCTTAACTGCTGAGCCATCTCTCCAGTCCATAACTGCTAAATATTAAGTAATACATGCTATCATTACTAGTTAATGTTTATCATACCTGCTATATTAAGCAACTTACATAGTTCATTTGTTTAGTTCTCAACCAATCCTATGAAACAAAGCCTACTCATGTCTGTTTACAGATGAGGGCTTGGCTGCTACATACAAAAGGGCCAAACTCTACAGGCTAACAGTAATACATGGAAGGGCTTGGCAGAAAAACAAAGTGTACAAAGTTTATACTCTGACAGCAACAGCTTTAAAATGCCAGGTGTAAATATACTGCATTTGTGCAATTTTACTGAAAATAAGTTTGTAAAGTTTCTCCTGAAAATTGTAGAAAACAGATTTCTGCTTAGACTGCAGGTACATTGTAAAACTATAACAATTTACTTTATCTTAAATTCTTAAACCACAGCCACAAATACTGAATTTAATTTTCAAATTAAGTTAATTTCAAAATTAGTTTTATCCCATTTGTTTTATTAACAGTTGAACCTGATAGAATTTAGGGTATTCTGTTATTTCATTTCTCTCACATGCTAAAGCAATACATCCACAGATGATCACAGGGCCCTCTCTAAGCAAGGCTTTTACATTTCACAAGAGAAAATATATATGAAGTTATAAAGCTTTAAATTACACCAGTAGCCTTAGAAATCAAGTGTCAACAGACACATTTCTCTCCTACACACTAATAAATATCTAGTAAATACAAGTTGTTTTTTTTAATGCACCACCCAAGACACTCATTCTAATAATTAGATTTAAACCAGAGACTAAATTTGTAGTTCTTTCCCATGTCTACTTATATTGTATGATCTTAGATATATAACTTCTAATAATTTCTCCTTCATTCCTGTAACATTAATTTTGACATTCAGTCAAGAAATACCTATTAGATGCCTACCATGTCCCAGGTACTATCTTAAGGTAAGATGCAGGAAGATCAAAACAATGATCTTGCTCAAGAAGCTTACAGGTTAGGGGGAGGAGACAGATAATGAGTAACCAAAAAAAAAAAAAAGAAAGAAAGAAACCAGACAGTGACAATGACCATGGAAAATTAAAGAAAAGGATATGAAAGGGAAGTGAGGTGAAGTAGAAACAAGTGGCCTGTCAGGGAGTATTTGGTGTGAAATAAAAAGAAAGCCACCCAGATGTTCAGAAAGGGGGTGAGAAGATGGGATGAGGACGTAGCTGGGGAGCAGATCACACAGACAGCCAAGCCAGTAGCACTGTAGAATGTTCTTATGTATACAGAGATGGCTGACAAAGAAAATGTTTATGTTTTCCACAGGAGAGGAAGAGGATTTGTGTCACTTACAACTGTGGCAACTTACTGTGAATTATCCTCATTGTTTATTCTCTTGAGCTCTCGTATGTGAAGATTCCTGACTCTTTCCAAACGCTCCAATTCTGCCTGGATTTCGGCCTCTTCCTGAAGATGAAGGGAAGAGTTGTAACAAGCTCCGTTTATTTGTGATATAAAAGGACATTTTATACATGTGTCCATTGTCACAGCGACGAGAACAACAGTGTATTACAAAGTACCATCGAATTAGAAGACCAGAGTGCTCTCTCACTGCTTCAGAGACAGAAGAGCAGAGGCCTATTGCGGATCCATCCTCTACCTAAAAGCTGCACCTAATGAAAGCCCACATTCTTTCTGTATTCTGAAGAATCTACTTTAATAATGTCTACACTGAGTGACTGCAAGGCAGTATGAAGCTGGCTTATCACACGAGATGGGTTCCCGAATCTTAAGAGGAACAAAGTTACTAGCACAAAGCAAATGAAGGTATGTTTTTATAATCATTAATGGAAGAAGGGGGTAGCTAGAACCTTATAAAACTTGGAATACAAATACACTCAAACACAATCATTAGGTTAAATCCCTGTAATCTTAAAGACACATTCCAGCAAATTTATGACCAGCAATGGCAGATCCTCAATTACAAGAGCAGATGAAGGCCAAGTACAAAAGAAGTAATTCAAAAGCATTCAGTACAAAGATGTTGACACATGCATTTTCATGTCTTTATATGTACTGGTGTTTTGTCTATGAGGGTGTAGAATCCCTTAGGGCTGGAATTGCAGACAGTTGTGAGTTGTCATGTGGATGCTGGGAATTGAACCCAGGTCCTTTGGGAGAGCAGCCTGAGCCATCTCCCCAGCCTGAATTTTCATGTCTTAAAACACAAAATTTTTAGAAAAATTCAAAGATAACGAAGTGAGTTAGGGAAAATACATTCTCTCCCTTTGTCAATGTTAATTTAAGTACTATTTACAGATGGATACAAACATACCAAATTAGGTGGAATTTTCTAGACATGTCCAATTTTAAAAATTGGAGAGATGGCTCAGTGGTTAAGAGCATTGACTACTTTTCCAGAGGACCCAGGTTCAATTCCCAGCACCCACATGGCAACTTACAACTGTCTGTAACTCCAAGATCTAACACCCTCACACAGACAATATATGCAGGCAAAACACTGAAGAATCAATTATTAAACTGTTTTGAATAGGAGTATTTATTGGGTAAATAAATGCAGACTATTAACCTAAGGTAGAAAATACAGACTAGATGTTATTTCTGAATATTATAGGTGAACATCCTCTATTTTATTAGCTCCTTTACTTCTCTCTAATTACTTCTCTTTCGACATTAATAGTATCTTTGAATAGGAAGTGATGGTGCACCATATAATCCCAGCATGTGGGAGACTAGGGCAAGGAAGATGATAAATCTGAGTGTAGTTTGAGATACTTAAAGGAAGAGGGGAAGACACAGACATATGATTGATAGATAATCAGAGATAAAGGGCATCCTTAACCTAAAAATAAATTCTGAAAGTGTTCTGAACAAAAACAAATCTTTACAGATCAAAACTGTAATCCAGGGCCAGTGAGATCACCATCCTGGTGACCTTGTAATCCTGGAGGTCCTGTGTAGAAGAACAACTGACTGTCACAGTTGTCTTGTGACTCACATACATGTACAGCACCTGCTGTGTACGTGTATGATTCTTAAAGTTACATCTGTATCATCATCTGCACATGTGTGCATGTGTTGTTTTTAAAAGGCCTCACTAGGCTCCCTAGCCTGAATTAGCATCGCTTCTTAGGCTTCTGGAATGCTAGATTTAATAAGCTAGAAACATGACCACACCTGGAACTTTGGTTATTCTTCAATGTAATTTAACCACAACTTTTTACAGCGATACATGGTGTAGATTAGGTATTCAATAGCAATTCAATTTAAATAAAGAGAAATCTAGAGATCTTGAAAGGGTTTTGTTTTTTTTTTTTTTTTTCTCAAAAAGATAACTAACAGTCTTTCTTATTGGTACTGGAGAGCAAACAGGTCTTCTTGTGTGCTAGGCAAATATTTTAACACTGAACTATATACTCCTTGCCTTTAAGCTTGAGTGAAGCCTTGTCATTTGCCATGGCTTCAGTCAGTTATCTTTAAAAGGTATGTGATACATACAGTATTAGATATCTCAGGTTGGCCTCAAACTTAACCTTCTGCCTTAGGTCCTCCTGCACCCCAAACACCCCAAGTGCTAACAGTGACATCATTCAACAATCAAAAACTCACTGTAGGAACAGGAAATGGATTTAAAAGCTTTGGAACAGTCCCCTGATAACAAGATTGATGACTACCTTACATGCCATCCTAGAGCCTTCATCCAGTAGCTGATGAAAGCAGAAGCAGACACCCACAGCTAAACACTGAACTGAATTCCTGGGGCCCAGTTACAGAGCGGGAGGAGTAAAGAGCTAAGGGGTCAAGACCAGGCTGGTGAAACCCACAGAAACAGCTGACCCAAACAAGGGGGAGCTCATGGACCCCATACTGATAGCTGAGAAACCAGAATAGGACTGATCCAGAACCCCGAAAGAAGATGTCAGTGAGAAGGCCTCAGAAATCTATGGGGCCTCTGGTAGGAGATCAGTATTTATACCTAGCATATAAATGGATTTTGGAAGTCCACTCCACATAGAGGGGCACTCTCTCTGCCTAGACACACAGGGGAAGGACTAGGCCCTGCTCCAAATGAGACAGACTCTGAAGATTCCCCCATGGAAGGCCTCACCCTCCCTGGGGAGCAGAAAGGGGATGAGACAGGGTATTATTGGAGGGCAGGGGAGGAGGGGAGGGAACTGGGATTGACATGTAAAACAAGTTTGTTTCTAATTTAAAATTTAAAAAATGGGGAGAAAAGCTCTGGAACAGTAAATTTGGAACACAGCTAGCCTGGTTGTCCTAATTTTGTCATATAAAGTAGAAAAAACTAACCCTTTAGATAGGTAAAAACTTTTCTGGGAGGGGGCGGGGGTTTTCGAGACAGGGTTTCTCTGTGTAGCTTTGGAGCCTATCCTGGAACTGGCTCTGGAGACCAGGCTGGCCTCGAACTCACAGAGATCGCCTGCCTCTGTTTACAATCTAGAAGAGGTTGACAGTTCTCTTCACCTGACTAGCATCCCATAGGCTAATGGATGTTCAAAGAGTCTGATAAAGAGCATCAAGCCTGTCAGAATAGCAACTGAAACACTTGCTGCAATTTTACTTGGAATTACCAAACGGGGAGACATTTCAGTAATTTCATCAGTACATTTCCAGTAATTTAGACTTAACTATTAAATAACAAGATTCACCTAGACTGATGAACAGAATAAAACTTCTTTTATAGTCTTCAGGTATCTATATAATAGAGGTAACTATTATTTTAAAGTTTCTAAAGGAAATAAGAATTACATTTACACCATGCATCTGGTAACTTAGTAATTCTTAGACCTTAAATCAAAGGGCATACTCTAGGGAGAATACAATCCTGCAACTTTTAGTAATTTCTCTCAAATGTCACTGAGAAAAAGTATGTTGTTATAGAGTGAATACTGAGGCCTTATTCTTACTATGGTATCATCTGGGTCTTTGAGACATAGTCAGGGTTAGCAGTAAGTTATGAAGCTGTGGCTTTATGATGAGATTAGTGTGCTTATGAAATCTCTGCCAGACTAAATATATACCCCCCAAACCATGGACAAGCCAGGAAGAGGGTCTTCTCTAAAACCAAATTCCAATAAACCCTGACCTACACTCTGAAACAAAAATAAATTTTGTTGCTCAAGCCACCAGTCTGTTATTTTGCTTTGGCAGCACAAGCAAACATATACATTCTTTTAAGCCAGCAGTTCTCAACCTTCCTAATGATGTGACACTTTAATACAGTTCCTCATGTTGTGGTGACCCCCAACCATAAAATTATTTTCATTGCTATTGTTATGAATCATAATGTAAATACCTGATATGCAATCCATAGGTTGTGAACAACAGCTTAAAGCAACTGTTAGAGGCAATACTGTCCAGTAACCTCTCCTAATAGGAAAGGGCATGGCCCAGCTGGAGGAGTACCAACAATTAAGCGCCCTTTCCTCAGATGCTTTCCAAAGGTCTGCTCTACAGGCTATATTCTTATTGCTTAAGAATGACATTCATCTTTTTCAGTGGGTTCAGAAGTGAGGAAGAGCTGAGTTCACAGCTAATCATCATAGAATGGTGCCTTCAGACTCACAGAAAAGCCAGGTCAAATTCATAAAATAAGAGAATCTAACCAATTACTATGTTTCCCTGGGCATTATGGCACACACCTTTAGTCCTAGCACTCCAGAGGCAGAAACAGGCAGATCTGAGTTCAAGGCAAGCCTGGACTACAGAGCAAACTCTGGGCCAGTCAAGGCTGCACACTGAGACCCTATCTCAAAAATAAAATTCTAATTCTGGATTCAACCACTAGCTAGTCAGTTATTTAAAACAGAGACTCTGTAGGCAGTTACAGAGTAGAACAGATTGCATTAAAGAGCAGTGGGTTTGGTGATCAAACACAAAATAAAAGAACACAGCTCTTCTCTATTCAAGCCAAAAAAAAAAAAAAAATTAACTGGCAATTTAATAACACATATTGCAATAGTTCATAGCACCTTAAAACAATGTTTATGGTCTGATATACATCACAAAAATCAAATCAAATAAACAGCAGATCTCAATACTGCCTCGTTAGATGACCCACAAAAATACTACTTTCCTATATACATATATATATTTTTCGAGACAGGGTTTCTCTGTGTAGCCCTGGCTGTCCTGAAAACTCAGAGATCCACCTGCCTCTGCCTGCCCAGTGTTGGGATTAAAGGAGTGTGCCACCACGGTCTGGCACTTTCTAATATTTTTAATGAAAAATAAGTCCCATGACTACTTTAACAGAACCTTTGTCTATTAACAGAGATTCAGCACAAAAATGCATCTTATTCATAATTAATCTCTTTTGACAACATAATGTTCCCTGGTTCATGAGTTACATCATGCCCACTCCACTCTCTTGACCTCCAACTCCTGTGTCCTTCCACTCCCTCTTGAATTCATGACCTCTTCTT